CCTTGTCAGCAACAGCTGGATTGCCTGTATATCACCAGGACACAGACAGGAGTACGGCGAAAGGGCTTGGCATAACAAGGGATTTGAAAGACTGGGGATTTGTTCATTCCTGTCCAAGGGACAGGACCAAGGGAAATAGTCTGGTTTGTCTCTCAGATCTTAGGTTGGGTTTCAGGACAAATACAGTCAGAAAAAAGCGCTGTAGTTTACTTCTGCTTTGATCACACTCAATCAGACAAACACTACTGATAACTGTGAATGTAACAAATGTAACATGTAGGGGATGTTATCAGGTTAGGTGGTCAGAATCATTGCACAACCAAAATAGGTCTTGGTTCTTTGTGAATAATTGGGATGCTTACAAGATAAGGGATACCTTTAGGCGGCTGGGCCTTGGGAGAACAGGTATGCAAACTACAGAGATAAGGAGGCTGCAAGATGATCTCAAGACTAACACCTATCAATGAGTTCTCGGAAAAAACATTACTATGATAAGCATTTATTGGAAATGTAATTAATATGTATGTTAACATAGCATAAATACCTAGTAACTGGGTCTCTGTTGCAGAAGTATAGAATCAACACAGTAAAATGGGGGACAGCAAAGCAGTGGCATTTTAAAGAAAAGCCCCTTAGGATGTATTCTAGCACATTGGAAAGATTGTGTGACTGTGTATGAAGCCTCTGTGTGAATGACAAATAAGTCAAAAGAGGAAAAATTGAAAAAAAGAAAAAAAACCAGAAAAAAACCACCACGTACGTTTGGTATGTTCCGTGATTTCCGGTTTTTGACTTGGGACTGTTGTATTTGAACTCTGAGTCTTCGGGGCCGTGGTTTATGATTTCTTAAGTATCAGTGCAGGGTCTTCCCACGGGGGGGATTTTGAGAGCCTCTCCCAGGATCTAGACGGCAACATTGGGAAAAGTAGGGGAGACCCCTCATTCAACAACGTCTTAATAATGTATGGGGTTTGGTTTGCTTAAAGAAAATCAGCATGATTTAGGAATTGAGTTGGGAATTTGGGGATTGGTTTTAAAATACAAGTTGGTATATATCGTGGGGTTACAAGTTCTCTAGTTATTCGGCATTGATCGATCATTTAGGGACTCTGGTTTTGGGGTATGTATTAAATATACTGTATATATTGTTTTGAAAGAGCTCTATGTATATATATAAAAACATGTTAACTGAAGTCGTTTGCCTGTATATATTGTTGTACTTAGGTGATACGGTTTGTAAACAGAAGGATTTTAAAAGATCCCTGCTAGGATGTGTGTGTGTGTGTGTTGTGTTAACCCATCGGTGGAGAAGTTATTTTATTGTAACATGATCTTCGGAGGGAGGTGATGCCCTCACAAACAATTAATTGAATTATGATATGCTGTTAGAATTGATGCGGTTTTGTAGACAAGTAAAAAGTATAGCAGATGAAAAGTTTAACACGGTACTGAAAATAAAAAAAAAAAAGGAAACCAAGCCATTTTATGAAGGGT